CAATGGGGAGACATATATAAAACCCTGAAAGAAAAAAACTGCCAACCAAGAATCCTTTATCCAGCAACGCTATCAGTCAAATAAGACGGTGTAATCAAAACATTCCAGGATAAACAGAAGTTAATGAATTTTGCCAAAGCCAACCCTGAGCTACAAAACATCCTAAAGGGAGTTCTGCGGACTGAGAGCCAACAAGAACAGACAACAACCAGAGATTGACATGCATGGCATGGCAGCACCTCCCAGAACTAAATCGACAGAAGGAAAGAGTCAAGAACAGAACAAAACTATAAGAACTCAGAGAATCTGGGAGGTCAGGCTATGATCAAAACAATTACAATGTACAAGAAGGTAAACATGTAGGAACAGAGATCCAGATGGTGAGAAGGTCAGGTAGATTATGGGATAAATAGACTGCACTAAATGGAGGGGAAACTTAATGGAATATGAGATAACCTCAAAGACAATTAACACTTCACAACATACCAAGAAAATGAAAAATCCAAGAAGAACATGGAAATTAAAACTATGAGCAAACTCACAAGAAAGAACACAAAAAGCATGAACTCAGCACAGGAAGACACACAAAACAAAGAAAGAAGCAACACCACAAAAAAACAAACATAATGGCAGCAATTAATCCATACCTATCAATAATTACACTGAATGTAAATGGATTAAATGCATCTGTTAGGAGATGGAGGGTGGCAGAATGGATAAGAAAACAAGATCCTTCAGTATGCTGTCTACAAGAGACATACCTCACACTAAACATTAAAAGTCAAAGGATGGAAAAAAGCATACCAACCTAATCGCAATGAAAATCGAACAGGAGTGGAATTATTAATCTCTGATAAAATAAATTTTAAGGCAAAAACCAGCATAATAGACAAAGATGGCCATTATCTCACGATTAAAGGGACAATTGAACAAGATGACATAACCATAATAAATATCTATGCTCCCAATGAAAGAGCTCCAAAATATATAAAGCAAACTCTAACAGATTTGAAGAAATACACAAATGTACAATAATAGTGGGTGATTTTAATATGCTGCTTTCAAAAATGGATATAACAACCAGAAAGAAACTTGACAAAGATACAGAAGAACTAAACAACAAACTGGACCTCATAGATGTGTACAGAGCATTCAACCCAACAACAGCACAATACATATTCTTTTCCAGTGCACATGGAACATTCTCCAGAATACATCATGTCTTAGGCCACAAAACAAATCTCCATAAATTTATAAATATCAAAATACTACAAAGCATCTTCTCAGACCACAATGCTATCAAATTAGAAATCAACAATGGGAAGACCAAGGAAATAAACTCAAATACATGGAAGCTGAAAAACACCCAGCTGAAAAGCGACTGCATAGTAGAAGATATTAAATGTGAACTCACAAAGTTCCTTGAAACAAATGAGAGCAAAAAGCCAACATACCAAAATCTTTGGGACACGGCAGAAGCAGTGCTGACAGGACAATTTATTGCAATAAACGCACACATCCAAAAAGGAGAAAGAACCAAAATTAACACATTAATACAACATCTACAACAATTAGAAACAGACCAACAGAGGGAACCTACAGTCACCCAACGAAAATAAACAATAAAGATTAGAGCAGAAATAAATGAGACAGAAGACAGAAAAACTATAGAAAGAATCAACAGGACAAGAAGCTGGTTCTTTGAAAGGATTAACAAAATTGACAGACCATCAGCAAACCTAACAAAAGAAAAAAGGGAGAAGAAACAAATAACACGCATTAGAAATCACATGGACGATGTCACAACGGAAACAAAGGAAAACAAAAGGATAATAACAGAATACTATGAAGAGTAATACTCCAACAAATTTGAAAACTTAGAAGATCCACCTAAACTTACACACAGTGAAGCAGAAAACCTGAACAGACCCATAACAAAACAAGAAATTGATCAGGTCATCAAAAATCTCCCAACCAAAAGAAGTCCAGGCCCAGATGGTTTCACCAGGGG